ATTGTATCCACCTGTGTCCATGGGGGGGGATTGGAACACCTGAATCACATGATATGGAGGGGATTGGAGCACCTGAATCACATGATATGGAGGGGATTGGAACACCGGAATCACATGATTTGGAGGGCGGGGGCAGTATTTTTGGTAATAAAGTATATTTTCTGTAAGCAGACATCCTAGAGAATAAAATAGTGGTGGTTGCAATTTTTTGGCACACAATATTACCACAAAGGTTAGGAAACACAACATTTCAGTAACATACACTAAAGTTAATTTTAGGGCACACAAATACAATACATTACCCAATTTTTGTGATAAAATATAAAAGGATGAGGTTGCACCGAGTCAATAAACACGTCAAACCTTAAATCTGCGTGAAATGGTGACAAACCTTAGTACCAGGGGCAGACTGGCCATTCAAGCACTCAGGCACTGCCCGAGGTCCCAGGGTCAGTAGGGGGCCCAATGAAATGCCCCTGGTACCTTTTTTTTTTTTTATATAGGCTTTTTTGGGTGTGCTTTGAGTGCAGGCAAGGACACAGGGACCCCATGATCCCCTATTGCCCGGGGGCCCCATGAGTTGTCAGTCCGCCCCTGGTTAGTACTCTATATTTTCCATAGCTTCAGAAGCCCCCTATAGGCAGAGTGCCACGAGGGAAATACCTCACAGCTCAATTCAGTCTGACGTGGCTGAGGAGAGTGACCTGGCCAGTTCATTCCCAAGAGGGGAGACTTCTTCCAGGATAGCGAGCCCCTCGCCTTTCCATCCTTGCCAGGAACCTTTCCCTACCTTTCCTAACAAGTGGGGGTCATTCTTCCTACACTAGCCGCTCGCAAAATGCGTGTCATAACTCAGGGGCAGGGACTAAGACTTTGCTGACCCAAGATGGCCATGAAGAGTCACTTGGTCGCAGCGTAGCCAACCAGAACGCTGCTCCATTGACCCAAGAAACTATAAAAACCATGTTTCCCTTGGACTTCCTCTCCAGGCTGAGGTACCACTTGAGTCGAGAACATGTAGCCAACCAGAACGCTGCTCTATAGACCCAAGAAACCATAGAACAATCATGTTTCCCTTGGACTTCCTCTCCAGGCTGAGGTACCACTTGAGTCGAGAACACGTAGCCAACCAGAACTCTGCTCCATTGACCCAAGAAACCATAGAAAAACCATGTTTCCCTTGGACTTCCTCTCCAGGCTGAGGTACCACTTGAGTCGAGAACACGTAGCCAATCAGAACGCTGCTCTATAGACCCAAGAAACCATAGAAAAACCATGTTTCCCTTGGACTTCCTCTCCAGGCTGAGGTACCATTAGAGTCGAGAACACGTAGCCAACCAGAACGCTGCTCTATAGACCCAAGAAACCATAGAAAAACCATGTTTCCCTTGGACTTCCTCTCCAGGCTGAAGTACCACTTGAGTCGAGAACATGTAGCCAACTAGAACGCTGCTCTATAGACCCAAGAAACCATAGAAAAACCATGTTTCCCTTGGATTTCCTCTCCAGGTTGAGGTACCACTTGTGTCGAGAACACGTAGCCAACCAGAACGCTGCTCCATTGACCCAAGAAACCATAGAAAAAACATGTTTCCCTTGGACTTCCTCTTCAGGCTGAGGTACCACTTGAGTCGAGAACCACATACAATAGAGAAAACAGACTGCCGACATGCATCCCCCTTCTGAACCATACCAAGCCACATGCCCTCAACATGGGTATCTTGTCAGGACAAAGGCCTCATCCTCCACAACCCTTTAGCCTGGTGGTTGTGGGTGTCTGCAGGCAGGGGGCCTACTGGAATAAAAACACTCGAAACATTTAACAAGATCTTTAAAAAAAATAAATAAAAAGGCAATGCTCACTCCCGGAGGTGCCGCTGAGAATATATACAGGTCTCCCATGTTGTACAGAGGCTGTCAGTCACAGGCCCAGTTCTTTGCACCCCAACAATACAGGATCAGTCTTGGGGATGTCTTAGAATTTTATGCTGAAGAACTTGAAGCAGGAGAGGGGTTTAGGGCCACAGGGTCCTCCAAAATGAGATCAGCAATCAATGGGAGGACACTCTTCACATTATATCCTCATAACTGCAGTCACACATGAAAGTCGCAAATCGGGTCCTACCTACAGTGTCCTAGGAGTCGCATACCACCCACGTTCCACCAGTAGATCCTTAGTGAGGGAGACAAAAGATCCTTCTGCAGACCAGGACTTCTGGCAGTGCCTACAGCACTAATCCTTTATCAGTCTTTCGCAGGCCCTCAGCCCAACTCTTGAAGAGGCCCAGACTGTAGCAAAAATCCTCTTGTAACTCCAGTTGAAGGCCCTGATGGCAATCTATGACTCAGTAATGCTGCCTCCAGGGGCAGCAGCCCCAAGAGAACTAGAACCCTCCTGGCAGAGGAATGAACACCTTGGAAAGGCCTCCTAAACATGTATCACCTCCCCAGCCACCTTCTGGAATCCTCCCTCCAGAGATTGGTGGGAGAAATATTCTTACTGGTCATCTGACTCTCCCTGCCCTGTATTCTGAAAACATCTCCCAAAAGCAGGTGGGAGAAATTAAACACCCAGGTTGGAGAACCCCGACCAGACAAAGCAATCAATTGCTGCACCACTGATTTACTCTGAAGTCAAAAACTAAATTTCGGCTAACAGCCTAACTAGAGGAGAGCGCTACATCATCAACATTTAAAAAAATATCTCTTGTAAATCCATCATCAATTGCGAGGCCCACCGACACCGTCTTGCCAGGAGAAAAAAAACCTGATCCCCGATTGTAACACTAGCCAAATGACAGCTCCCGAACAGTCATTGGCTATATAAAGGAAGGAGAGAGGATGGTGGTGACATCATTGCCCCAAGAGGACTATGGCCATATTTAGGCAAAGTAATGACCAGGGATTCCCAGCCATGTAAGTGAAAGGGCCGAGCTGTGGCAGCACCCAAATATTGCAGAGTTCCCTTTAAGCTTTAACATTTCTAAAAGCATCTGTTTGCAGAATCAGCTCATCAGCTCACTTCCTCCCCTCATTTCCTGTGTTCCAGTCTAGCAGCCGACACCCTAACTTTCAGTTGGTGATATTTTATCTAAATGTGAAACCGCAAAGGCTGTATCCTGAACTGCTCAGAATGTATTTTAAAGGTACAAAAAGTAAAGAGGAAATATAAGCATTGTGACGTAATTGTTGATATATACACCATGTAAGATGCTTTGCAAGGTACATAGCTTGCAGACACGAGTCTGGCTAGGTTGCCCAGCTGGTAAATAAAAAGCTTGTTTTCCTCAAGTTCATGTCCGGAGTTTTCCTGGAATCCCCAAAGTTGCCATTACAGAGTGATGTAAGTGGTTGGTGAAGATGGGACGACGCCAGATTCCTTGACAACCATTGCCAGCATTGCCCAAATATTACCACGTGGCCATATATTTAGGCAATGATGTAACCGGCTCCATTCCCTGCCCATTCGCTAACTTGGCCGAGGATTCCAAACAGTATAACTGAACGGGCTGGGTGATGTCACTGACTGGTAAAGCCCACATGGAACAAAAATATACCTGAAATATATTTTAAAAATATGCATCCCAAATATATTGACAAATATTTGAAATGTTACAATTTTGATTATTATACAGGTATTTATATAGTGGCAGAAGGTGTGCTCAGCGCTGTACATTATAGTGGGGGACAGAACATGAGACAATACAGTAACAATACAATACACGAGGGGGATCGAGGGCCTGATCCTGGGAGCTTACAATCTAGGAGGGAGGGGATAGTGGTACAGGAGGAAGTGGCTGTGGGGGATGGGGTGGTGGGTGGAGTGGGGGGAGATCGGCTGTTAGGTGAGGCTTCCTCTGAAGAGATGGATTTTCGTGGGAGGAGGAGAAAAGGGGTGTGCCTAAAGGTGAGGAGGGTAGAATTTAATGCGTTTGGGGGACAGTCTGATGACAAGGGGATTGAGCCAGGGTTAGTGAGTTCCAGAGGATGTGGGGAAGTCCTGGAGAAGTCTTGCAGTTGGCGTGGGAGGAGGAGAAAAGAGGGAGCTGGAAAGTAGGAGGTCTTGTGAGGAGCAAAGATTACGGGTTGGGTGGTATTTGGGTAATCAGGGTCGTTGAGGTAGTTTGGGGAAGCATTATGAATGGCTTTAGGAGGGGTGGAGGGATATCAGTGTTAGTATGGAGGAATTTAGCGGGGGGTGGGAGGACACGTGGAGGTTGGAGCCTTCAGAGGGGGGGAGCCTGAGTGGAGGGAAGGGTTTTGGCAGAGGGGGGGTGGTGGACAGAGGGGTGTGGAGCCATGGAGTTGGAGGTGATGAGGGATTGGCAAGGGGGTGGAGCCAGTGGAGGGATGACAGAGGGGGGGTGGAGGCACTGAGTGGAGGTCAGTGGGGAATGGGATTGAGGAGGGGTGGAGGGACACTGAGTCAGTGAGGGATTGCAGAGGGGGTGTGGAGGACACTGAGTGGAGGATGGGATTGGCAGAGAGAGGGGTCAGGTGGATGAGGGAATGACAGAGGTGGATGGAGGACACTGAGTGGAGTCAAGTGAGGAAGGGAATGAAGAGGGGGGTGGAGGACACTGAGTGGAGGTGGAGGTCAGATGGAGGGCATGAGTGAGAGGCAGAATGGCAGAGGGGGGTGGAGGACACTGAGTGGAGGGTGGCAGAGGGGTGGTGGAGGGAATGGAGGTCAATGGAGGGGGTGGAGGACACTGAGTGGAGGTCAGTGATGGAGGATTGGCAGGGGGGGTGGAGGACACTGAAGAGATGGAGGTCAGTGGAGGATTGGCAGAGGGGGGTGGAGGACACTGTGGAGGTCATGTGAGGGATTGGCAGAGGGGGGTGGAGGACACTGAGTGGAGGTCATGGAGGGATTGGCAGAGGGGGGTGGAGGACACTGAGTGGAGGTCAGTGAGGGAATGAGAAGGGGGGTGGAGGGACACTGAGATGGAGGGTCAGTGGAGGGATTGGCAGAGGGGGGTGGAGGAAGGACACTGAGTGGAGGTCAGTGGAGGGATTGGCAGAGGGGTGGTGGAGGACACTGAGTGGAGGTCAGTGAAGGGAATTGCAGAGGGGGGTGGAGGACACTGAGTGGAGGTCAGTGAGGGATGGCAGAGGGGTGGATGGAGGACACTGAGTGGAGGTCAGTGAAGGGATTGGCAGAGGGGGGTGGAGGACACTGAGTGGAGGTCATGGAGGGATTGGCAGAGGGGGGTGGAGGACATGAGTGGAGGTCATGGAGGGATTGGCAGAGGGGGGTGGAGGACACTGAGTGGAGGTCAGGTGGAGGGAATGGCAGAGGGGGGTGGAGGGACACTGAGTGGAGGTCATGAAGGGTATTGGCAGAGGGGGGGTGGAGGACACTGAGTGGAGGTCATGGAGGGATTGGCAGAGGGGGGTGGAGGACACTGAGTGGAGGTCAGTGAAGGGATTGGCAGAGGGGGGTGTGCAGACACTGAGTGGAGGTCAGTTGAAGGGATTGTGCAGAGGGGTGGTGGAGGAGACATGAGTGACTGAGCCGTCATGGAGGGATTGGCAGAGAGGGCGGGTGGAGAACTGAGTGGAGGTCAGTGGACGGATTGCAGAGTGGGGGGTAGGACACTGAGTGAGAGAGGATTGACAGAGGGGTGTGGAGGACACTTGAGGTAATGGCATAGAGGGTGGGTGTTGAAGGTAGTGCAGGGATTTTAAGTGGCCGGGGGAATAAAAAACGCATTTTAAAAAAATACATCAGGATAGCGCTGAAGGGGGGAGGGAATACCTGTGGTTTAGGACTTAAAAATACGCACCACTGCATTTGAATACAATTTTTAGATTGAATATATTCTTTTTAAATATTTACCATATTCAAAATAACTTATGTCTTTAAAAATACGAATCTTTTTTGGGAAAATGACTTATTTTTAATAAAAAAAATCCCCCCCCCCATATATATATAATATATTATGTTTGAAATGCATTTTTTACTACAAAATATATGAAAACTATTTTTAAAAATACATTTAAAATATACTGTATTGTCTTTAAAAATAAAAAATCTACATTTTTGGAACTCATTTTACAAATTATGTTAAAATTCCTTTTTTTTTTTTTTTATTATATTATTCTTTCAGATTTTCTTAACACATAAAACAGTCATTTTAACATATATTTGTAATGATGCGTTCCAAAAATGTAGATTTTTTTTATTTTTAAAGACATACAGTATTTTAAATGTATTAAAATAGTTTTTCATATATTTTGTAATAAAAAACGCAGTTTCAACATACATATATACATATAATTTTTTTTTTTTTTTAAATATAGTGAATACGGCCAAAAATTGTAGCGGTTTCAAATATATATGTCAATATATTTGGGAAGAAATGTTTTTTAAAATATATTTCAAATAAATTTTTTCTTCCCTGTGGGGACGCAGAGGGCTTGCCACCATGAGATGTTGGAAATCATCATGTTTCCTCCCTGGGAATGCCCTAAACATCTGAACAACCTTTGCTCGGACCTCACATTCCCTCTCCCCTCCCCCGACTCATATCATTCCACTCTAAACGTGACGTTTGGGTGAAATGTTCTAATATTCAGTTTATTTTTGTACGCTTTCCATATTTTTTAATATGAATTGTCCTATCCTTCATCTGGAGAACACAGAGGAGCTTTGGCTGGAAGATGAGAACATCCACTCAGTATGGGAATCACTTTGAGCGCATGTTCACCTGCCTAATGGGAACAAAGTAAACAACAGCCGGCAAGGAAAAAAAAAATGGATTTGTATAACTAATAATGAGGAAATACAACATTTTTTTTTTATTAGAAACGAGGGAAATGATTATAAAAATGTGGAAACACAAAATGACTAATAATTACAAAATCATTACAAAAATCATTAAAGTGTTTCACTAAAAGGATTCAAAAATTTAAAAAAAATGAACTAAAACATTAAAATAACTATTAAATGATTTGAAAAATTACAATTATGAATTAAGAATGCAGACTGTAATAAGTATAATAAATAAATGTAATATTTACAAAATGATAAATAATGTTCAGGAAATAAAAAAAATTAAAAAAAAAAAGTGAGGAAATGCTAAATAAATAATAATGGGGAAATAAAACATTTTTATTAGAAAGGAGGAAATTATTATAAAAATGTGTAAACACAAAAAGACTAATAATTACAAAATCATTACAAAAATTATTAAAGTGTTACACTAAAAGGATTCAAAATTTAAAAAAATGAACTAAAACATTAAAATAACTATTAAATGATTTGAAAAATTACAATTATGAATTAAGAATGCAGACTGTAATAAGTATAATAAATAAATGTAATATTTACAAAATGATAAATAATGTTCAGGAAATAAAAAAAATTATAAAAAGTGAGGAAATGCTAAATAAAATAATAATGGGGAAATAAAACATTTTTATTAGAAAGGAGGAAATTATTATAAAAATGTGTAAACACAAAAAGACTAATAATTACAAAATCATTACAAAAATTATTAAAGTGTTTCACTAAAAGGATTCAAAATTAAAAAAATGAACTAAAACATTAAAATAACTATTAAATGATTTGAAAAAATTACAATTATGAATTAAGAATGCAGACTGTAATAAGTATAATAAATAAATGTAATATTTACAAAATGATAAATAATGTTCAGGAAATAAAATAATTATAAAAAGTGAGGAAATGCTAAATAAAAAATAATGGGGAAATAAAACATTTTTTATTAGAAAGGAGGAAATTATTATAAAAATGTGTAAAAACACAAAAAGACTAATAATTACAAAATCATTACAAAAATTATTAAAGTGTTACACTAAAAGGATTCAAAATTAAAAAAAAAATGAACTAAAACATTAAATTATAACTATTAAATGATTTAAAAAAAAATATTTACAATTATGAATTAAGAATGCAGACTGTAATAAGTATAATAAATAAATGTAATATTTACAAAATGATAAATAATGTTCAGGAAATAAAAAAAATTATAAAAAGTGAGGAAATGCTAAATAAAAAAATAATGGGAAAATAACAACATTTTTATTAGAAAGGAGGAAAAAATTATTATAAAAATGTGTAAACACAAAAAGACTAATAATTACAAAATCATTACAAAAATTATTAAAGTGTTACACTAAAAGGATTCAAAATTTAAAAAAATGAACTAAAACATTAAAATAACTATTAAAATGATTTGAAAAACTACAATTATGAATTAAGAATGCAGACTGTAATAAGTATAATAAATAAATGTAATATTTACAAAATGATAAATAATGTTCAGGAAAAAAAATAATTATAAAAAGTGAGGAAATGCTAAATAAAAAATAAATGATTTTAATATGATAACACTTTAATGATTTTTCTAATGATTTTGTAATTATTAGTCATTTTGTGTTTTCACATTTTTATAATACTTTCCTCATTTATAATTTTAAAAAAAATAGTATTTCCCCATTATTAGTTATACAAATTCATTTTTTTGCCCAAAGCAAACAATTTAGATTTCATATTGTTTAATTTTGTTACTTTTAGATTTATTTTTTTTAAATAATCCTACCTTTAAATAGTTTTAATTTAATAATAATTTTGTAATCATTCTTAGTAAAAAATGTTGTATTTCCCCTATTATTAAGAATGATTACAAAATTATTATTAAATTAAAACTATTTAAAGGTAGGATTATTAAAAAAAAATAATATTAAAGTAAAAAAATTAAACAATATGAAATCTAAATTATTTTCTTTGGGGACAAAAAAGGAATTTGTATAACTAATAATGAGGAAATACTATTTTTGTTGTATTAGAAATAAGAATTTAAAAATTATTATTACAAAAATGTGGAAAAAAAAACAAAATAAACTAATAATTACAAAATCATTAAAGTGTTACATTAAAAGGATCAAAAAGTTTAAATATTATTATTATTATTATTATTATACAGGATTTATATAGGGCCAACAGTTTGCGCAGCGCTTTACAAAATGAAGGCAGACATGACAGTTACAATACAATCTGGTACAAGAGGAAACAGAGGGCCCGGATCCTGAGATCTTACAATCTAGGAGATATCAACTAAAATATAAACTAAACATTAAAATAACTATTACATTATTTGAAAAATTACAATTATGAAATAAGAATGCAGACTGTAATAAGTAAAAAATAATAAATGTAATACAAAATGATAAACAATGTTGAGGAAATAAAAAATTATTATTAAAAGTGAAGAAACACAAAAAATAAATAATAATGAGGAAATACATTTTTTTACAAAGAATGATTACAAAAATTATTATTAAATCAAAACTATTTAAAGTTAGAATTAAATTAAAAAAATTTAAAAAATATAAAAGTTAAAAAAAAAAAATTAAAAGTATTACAAGTATACCAATAAATTACGCATTTATTCCTAATAAACTAATCAATTTGCACTGTCACAACTGATCTGTGGTATTGGGAATAATAATGGGGAAATACAACATTTTTATTAGAAAGGAGAAAATTATTATAAAAGTGTGGAAACACAAAATCATTAGAAAAATCATTAAAGTGTTACATTAAAAGGATTAAATATTAAAAATATCAGCTATGCAATAAAAATAACAATTATGAATAAAAATGCAGACTGTAAAAATATAATAAAAAAAATTAATATTTACAACATGATAAATAATGTTGAGGAAATAAAAAAATAATTATTAAAAGTGAAGAAACACAAAATAAATAATAATGAGGAAAATACAACATTTTTTTTACAAAGTATTATTACAAAATTATTATTAAATCAAAACTATTTAAAGTTAGAATTATTAAAAAAATAATAAATATAAAAGTAAAAAAAAAAATTACAAGTAGTACCAATAATAATTACGCATTTATTCCTAATAAACTAATCAATTTGCACTGTCACAATTGATCTGTGGTATTGGGAATAATAATGGGGAAATACAACATTTTTATTAGAAAGGAGGAAATTATTATAAAAGCGTGGAAACACAAAATCATTAGAAAAATTATTAAAGTATTACATTAAAAGGATTATTGAAAAAAATTAAAAATATCAGCTATACATTAAAATTACAATTATGAATTAAGAATGCAGACTGTAATTAAATATAATAAAAAATGTAATATTTACAAAATGATAAATAACGTTGAGGAAATAAAAAAATAATTATTAAAAGTGAAGAAACACAAAAAAAATAATAATGAGGAAATACAACATTTTTTACGAATAATAATTACAACATTATTATTAAATTATTAAATCAAAATTAATTAAAAAAGGTAGGATTATTAAAAAAATAATAAATATAAAAGTAAAAAAAATTAAACCGATTAATTACAGGTAATAATAATAATTACGCATTTAATATTAATAAACAAATCAAGTTGCATTGTTACAATTGATCTGGTATTGGGAGGCACCGGATTAGATGCTGTTTTGGTGGCAGAAAATCTAAACACAAATTTGGAAAGACATAAAATACAAAGAAAGATACCCAGAGGATAATTAACACCAAATATTCTGATCTTCACCCAAGAAAGGTCCCTTGACACAAACTCAAAAAAAGCCTAATGAATAAAAGGTACC